TGGTGGACCAGTCGGGATCGAGAAATGGAAGAGGCATGAGCAGTAGGCAATTACCGCAAGCTCTTCCAGCTGATCCGCATCACTGGTCACAGGAAACCAGACATCAGTGAGACAATCAGAGACAGCGCGGGTGCACTGATACACAAAAAGGAGCATCGGATTGCTCAATGGGTGGAACACTTTCAAGATCAGTTCAGCTAGCCCCGTGCTCCTGGACCTCTTCCTACTCAGGTGATGCAAGACGAGCCATGGGCGGTTAGTTTAGAGCTTCTGTCGGATGCCGAGGTCCGAAACGCGATCACAGCCCTCAATGGTTTCGGTGTCGCTGGCCCAGGTTCCCTCTCACCTGCACTAGTTAAGGATCGAGGTGAGGTCCACTGCAAAATGCTGACCTCCCATTATAGTGGCAATATACAAGAAGGGCGGTCATACGGACTGTGCTAACCACAGGGGTATTAGCCTAACGCCAATTGTGACAAAATTACTGGCTTCGACTCGCGTTCATGACCTCACTGGGAAACGGGAATCACGGATTAGGGAAGAGCAGGCAGGTTGTCACATACCACCGACCGACAATAACTGTGTTTATCGGTTTTAAGTGCATTCAATGCATTCTGTTCGAAATACTTGCGCGGAAGTGTTCCCACGTAATACGTGAACGTCTTCATACTCGAATACTACAGGGTGTGTCAGGGTCTGCGGTGACCTGTTGGGTAGGTTTCTGACCACAAGTGACCTTCGTCAGGGCTGTCCGATTTCCCCTTTTGTTCAATTTCATCATGGACTCCATCATAGTGCCCCCTTACGTAATCTCACGATGTACGCGTTGAGATCGTGCCTGATGAAAGGTTAGGTGATCTTGATTATGCGGAGGATATCGTCTTGCTTTTTGACGATGCCGGGGGCCCAACCCACCCTGAGTAGCCAGACTAGAGTGGTCCAATTAGTTGGTATGCGTTTCGCATCCTGAAAGTGCTGCAGGACCACCAGCCATTTGATGATCCCTTGACTCTTGATAATGTGGAAGTCAAGCTGGTTGATCGATTCACTTACCTTGGCAGCTGCATCAGCAAGGATGGGCACATAGAAACTAATGTCAATTCACGCATTGCAAAAGTCAGAACTGCTTTTTTGAACCTGTGGCTTCTTTGGTGACAAAAGGGAGTTTCTTTCCGTCTGAAAGGTCGTGTGTACAAGGCCACAGTGAGGGTCGTTCTGCTCTATGGGAGTGAAACAGCACCTTCGGTTTGAAGATCTGAGGCGCATTCAAGTCGTCGATCACCGTTGTCTGCGAAGCATTGCTGGTGTCGGATGGTACCACCGTGTCCATAACGATGAAGTGCGTAGACAATAGATGGTGATAATCACTGAATAAGTTGCGTTGGCGTGGGCACGTGCTAAGTATGCCTGGTCACGGCTTACCTAGGTGGGGCATTTTTAGTCTGCCAGAGGTAGGGTGGCGCAAAGCTCGTGGAGGACGAAATTTGACTTGGCAGCGGGAAATGAAGTCAATGACGACCAAACCAGGTGCCGTTGGTCCGTATCGCCATCCGGGCGGGAGTCGACGTGACCCGCCTTGTGTTTGGCTCGAGAGTTTACAGGACATGGCTCGAAGTCGAGACCAGTAGGGCGTCTGGTACCATCTTATAGTCGGACTGCCTTTAAAGTGTCTTGGGTGCTGTTATCTGCGGGATAACGGTTGATTGTGACGCAGGGCAGTGAAAGCCACAGGGAAGCTGTCTCGCCGATGCCACCTTATCTTTGTACGATAGTTAGTTTGTGATGGTATGTTTCTAACACAAGGTGTAGGCACCTTGACCCTGAATGTTTGCTTAGGGCATTAAGGTTTTCAGGTAAGTCCCTCTTATCTCTCTCTTATTATTCTTTATTCCTTAGGTCGTCATGGTTGTATGACAGTGAAGCATCAGTTCAAATGACTGATGTACTGCTGTTGCCGATGATGATGCACATAACAAGAATGAGGTGTGAAAAGAGACGATTACATTAGGTTCGATGACGGCCAACATCGGGCTCAACATTAACAGATAAGGTAGTATGCCTTTTCAGGCATCAAGATGACGTGACACCAGCGTGGCAGCTGCAAATACGGATTGGTAGCGAGGTGTTACAGCGCCAATCCAAATCCTTCTATCGCAGAAGTTAGCCAGCAAAGCTTGCGGATAAGCTAAGAGCTCCGCAACTGTGTGTTAGAAGTGAAGCTTTTAGTGGATTGAAACGTCGAATGCCGAATAGTAATAACCCTAACATTATGGTTAAGCTGATGGCGCACAAGGCAATGATGACACCGATTCTTCTTTATGGTAAAGATCGACGCTACACGAGAAATAGTATTAGCTGGAATAATTTCAATAAAAAAAGACTAACAAATCTTTCGCATCCGCTGGTGGGACAGTAAGGCATAAGTACTTCGCAGTACTGATTTTTACAGAATGGGCGATAAGGTGCTACTGCGACACTTCAGATGGATTGGCCACGTTCGACCAACGGGTGCGACCAAAGTACTAAGACGCCTGTGAGGAAAGTTAATCGTAGGGAAAAGGAATGCGCATAAACAGAAATCATAATAAAAATGTGACTGTTACTAACAAATATTGGCCTTGAGAGAAATGGGCATTAGATCGACCAATAGGACGACCATATGAAGGCTGCATCACAAGTGCAAGTAGCAAGCGACAAATAAATATAAACACAAACTCATCATCAACACTCATATCGTACTGCAGCATATGCGGTCGTGCGGTTCAGTCGAGTGGGCATGGTATGTCAACAAGGTAGTCATGACACCCAAAAAAGTGGCCGGCAGATTAAATCTGTCGGCGCGGTTAAAAGGCTTCTTATGACCTCATTCACCAATGATACTGACCGTATTTAATGCAACGCGCATGACAATCGTCTCGAAGATTGTGGTAAGCCTTACATCTAACGGGTGCCGCATGCTTGATTATTATTCCTGCCAGAATTTGATCCGCTCATCGTGAGTGATGACAATGTTTACTCTCCAGATTAGCATTCGTCACGAAAACTGTATCGACGGTGTCAACGTCTGATTTTTATGTTTGCAAATTCAGGCCATATACAGACTTCGACGTAGAAATCAAATAGATAATCTCATAAAGCCGTGGAAGCGATACCTGATGCTAATGCCTTTTGCCTAAGGAATCCAGGCTGACGAGATGCGGAATGCAGTCCAGAGAGTGAAAAATTCTAATGATACTGGATTTTGTTTATATTTCCTTACATAACCAGACAGCGGAGAACTTGTTTCTTAACGAACAAACAGATTAGTTACAGAACATCAGATGAGACCGGAACGACAGGAAAACCGCTTGAGTGTTTCTTCCTGTGCGGATTGTTGAGCCAGGAAATGGTAAGGCGTTACAAAATCTTGATGGATCCAAAAAGATAGCGCAAACCCCACCATGGGCAACCTCTTTGCTAAGTATTTCGGCACTCCCTCGAAGTAGGCGGCCTATCCACAGGGTGGAAAACAGGTACCGTCCTTCCCAAGTACAAGGGGAGGAAACTAACAAGACCCAGCGATCTATCGGCCAATATGTATGACAGTCTTATGCAAAACCATGGAACGAATAGTCAAGCGCGTTCTCCAGCTGCACTGTGTGGACCTAAACATCAGCTCACCCGCTCAACATGGCTTCCGGAGAGCACACTCATGCATCCCTAACTTACTCATGGCTAGGGAAACATGGGCGGAAGCCCCAGATGTCCGAAAACAGGTTGACTTCAGTAAAGCCTTTGATACAGTTCCACACGTATGAATGCCATACAAACTGTAAAAATTGGCATTATAGAAAATTTGCTCTCGTGGATTGCCGATTTCTTAAGAAGTAGGACAATGTGCGTACAAGTGATAAAGCCCCTCTCTGCTCCTGTGTCTATGACTAGTAGCATTCACCAAGGAGCAGAGCTTTTTAAACTCTACATCAATGATCTACCGACTGCTTGATCGACGCCGATGACCTCAAACTAAGGTCAACAGTATGCAGCTTTGAGGAAGTGGACAGATTACAAGGGGATCTGGACCAGCTACACGAATTGTCTATCAAGTGGGAATTGCCAGTAAACCAAATGCGCTGTTCTCCCAATAAGTAGCACTGTACCGTACGGTGTGTACCACATTGGTGGGTTTCTCCTCAGGAACACCACTCAAGAGAGATTTCGGGGTTATCCTGACTTCTGACCTTAGAACGACGCAGGACACGTTGAAAGTGGCCACTGGAAGGAGACTGGTGGGTGCCTTAAGATCATTCGCTCGAATAACTCCTGAGATGTTTCGACCTTTATTCCCTTCGTACGTACGTCCAGTCTTAGAATATGGCCTACCAGCTATCTATCCGCTTTCAAAATTTGTTTGCGCTCTGTTGGAGAAGGTTCAGAGACGTGCATCGGGAGCTATTTTAGGGCTTCGTGATCTCTCGTACCCCATTCGACTCAAGACAAATCTGTTCTTCTTGGAGTCCCACCATCGTCCTCCTAGGAGAACTTGGAAGTGAGTTATAACAATTCTTCCGGCCCAACACCGACAGTTCCACACGAGGTCACACATGGAAGCTGCTTAAGAAAAGAAGACAAAATTCGCATGGACGTCACTCTATCCAACAGAGTTGTAAATGATTGGAACGACCTAGCGGAAGAAATTGCAGACGCGCCAGCCGAGAAAAGTTTCAAGCGGCTGCCAGACAAACATTCGTTGAGAATGTTGGAATATTGCGGCTGTCACTAGAATTGCGACCAACCCTCCAAAAATGTCGTAACGCAACCAGACAGACATCAAACTCAGTATGATACGGAAACGATGGGGCTGGCAAGGGTTTTTCCTCGTTCTCTACCACTCAATGCACCAATTACTGCCCATGTTCCCTGCACTAGCAGCCCCCGCTGTGCATGCCTGACACGGATGAAGAAAGTTGTGACAAGCACGAGGAACAGCAAATAAAGTAAAAATTAAATTGCTTACTAACCATGTGTAACAGACTCGCTAGGAGCAAAAGGCGACTCGGGCATACGCACAGTAGGCGGGTCATAATCCTGAATATAAGAACCGAATTTTCGACGTTTTGTCATAACGGAATCCAAAATATCAAAGTTTTGAGTGCGTTTCAGAGTAGCACACGCCATTTTTGTCAAAAAGACGGATACAGAAACCGAGAGGGGTCACGCACAATGCCGCAGGAAGCACAGGAGGAAGTAACAGATGGCGACCAAGAATGCGCGAAGTAGGGAGCGAGCCAGACCCGAAATTACTGATGTAGGACTTATCGGTGGCTGCGTATAACGTTCATTACAACACCAATACCTCGAAGAGGTATGCGTAGGATGCAATGCATCAGATAAAGCAAATGTAAATTAAATATACGTATGTATGTATGTAGTGTATGTACAATAGTTTATGTGTATTTTCATGTCGAATAATATGTACTGTATGTATTCATACCATAAATATAGTGGAGTAATTAAGGTAAATAAATATATATATTTTAGTTGTTTTACGGATGTCTGTTATTATTAACTATGTACATTGTAATTAATAATATATAATCAGTTTGTACAATATGGCAACAATACATAATGTAGATATATAATGTGTGGAGAAGAATCGAAACCGTTACTTGGCGCGCGTTCAAGTTCAAGTTCAAGTTCAATTTGGACAGGAACGGTAGGAGGATTCCCATGTGTGTTCCTTCTTCAATGCGTCGTTGAACCAGGATGGAGTTCGCGGGAGCGGTTTGGAGCCGAGAGGAGCCAAATCAATACACACGAATCACATAACGGTCAACCAATCAATGCCCACGCGGCCTGCACTAGCAGTCCTCACTGTACCGGCCACGTGAATAGAATAAAGGTTAAGAGAAGGGAACCAACAAAAACAAAATAATGGTAATTGTAGTACAGGAGAGAACGTGTGGTTAAGACAATAATAGTAATAGATGTGAGGAGCCAAGGAAATAGATGTAAAAGTTAAGAACTAAAAGGAAAGGTCTGAAACTGTAACCCAAGGGCGTCGAGTCGATGTTCAAACTCCTTCACCGTTGGTGCTAACACTACTTCGCTGGGTAGTGCGTTCCATGAGTCGATGACCCTGCGTGACAACCGAACGTCAGCTCTAACGTGATCAGATCTAGGCTTATGCAACTTCAGAGGGTGACCACGAAGAGACGACATCTGAGCCGGCTGGAACAGTCCAGTTAGATCAGGCCCAATCTTGTTGGTCAATATACGGTACGTAAGAATCAGGTCTCCCCGAAGGCGCCTATAGTGCAGCGAAAACATCTGCAACCTGAGCAGCCTATCGGGATACGAGAGATGTCTCAATCCTTGTACCATTTTCGTACCAACCCTCAGAACTCGTTCAAGTGTCATCTTATCGCGTACCAAGCATGGAGGACAGGCCTGCACGCAGTACTCCAAGTATGGCCTGACGAAGGCTGAGAACAATATAACGAACATTTCATTTGTTATAATGCCGAATGACCTGCGGATCATCCACAGCATTCGGAAACCCTTACGGGTAGCATTTATCCAGTTCTCGCTGGATTTGAAGTCAGAGGATAACGAGATACCCAAGTCAGTTTGTTCAGTCACTTGACGCAATACATTTCCGCCAAGTACGTAAGAAGTTGTGGGAGTGCTTGATCCTATGCGCAGGACCGAACACTTTGCAAGATTGACTGGCAGCTGCCACAATTCTGACCACTCCCAAAGCTTGTCCAGAGCTGTCTGTAAAGCCGTGGGCCCAACAGAACCGCTCACTGTATTCCAAAATTTTAAGTCATCCGCAAACATAAGGGATGGTACCTTAAGCTTCTCAGGGAGGTCATTGACATACAATGCAAACAGTAGAGGTCCGAGAACCGACCCTTGAGGAACACCACTCAGAACGGCTTGTCTGAAAGACAGCCCGGAACCCACTCGGACGCTCATCTGCCTTCCTTCCAGGAAAGCCGAAATCCACTTCAATACTTGACCTGAAACGCCGTAGGATTCTAGTTTAAACAAAAGACGGCAATGCGGTACAGTGTCAAAGGCTTTAGAAAAGTCGATGAACAAAACATCCACCGCCTGTCCTTGGTCCACAGCCTCAGCCCAGCACTCTCGGGCTACCAACATGTTAGTCAAACAGGAGTGTCCTCTGCGGAAACCATGTTGAGACGGGTTGAGCAAACTGAACTTAGCTAAGTGCTTTTCCAGAGCATCTCTTACAAGCTTCTCTAATACTTTTACCAGTACGCTTGTTAGGCTAACCGGTCTATAATTCTCAGGTAAGTGCTTATCACCCTTTTTGAAAATAGGGCACACGATAGCATCTCTCCAGTCAGCAGGTAGGGAGCAGCTACGAAGAGACTTCTCAAAGATACACTTAATCGGTTTACACAGGAACCCAGCCAGCTCGTACAAAAGTTTGGGATGGAGGGCATCTATCCCAGCAGCTTTTGTGGGATTTAGGTCACGCAGGAGCTTGAGTACCTGAGCTTCCGAGATGGAAAGGTCCATCAGAAAGGAGTCTAAGGGTATCTTTGCTTGCAATTGGATATTAGGCAATGGAGATTCATGAACAAACGACCTAGCATACTGTTCTGCAAGTAAGCAGGCCTTGGCCTGATCGGTTGATACTTCAGTGCCGTCAGGTCCAAAGAGCACAGGGATAGGCGGATTTGCATTGCATCTCCGTTTGACATAGCCAAAGAACCGTTTCGGGTTTGTTGATGCAGATCGAGCTAGCGCTAGTTCATATCTCAAGCGTGCGGCCCGCAGATGTTGTTTACATGCATTTCGCACGCTTCGGTAGCGATGATGGGTACTTTCTGAGGGAGCTGATACGTAAGTCCTCCAACACCTGGATCGCCTACTGAGCATCCTGCGCGCCTCAGAGTCAAACCAAGGGGGCTTTGCCCCTACTTTATTCCTCGCTGAGATTGGAATGTGGGGGAGGGAAATCTCGCAAAGAAAGGATTTGAACTTGTCCCAAGCAACCTGGACGGTGTCATCCTCTGACATGATACAGAGTTGATTTGCAGCCTTGGCCCTGATGGCTTGAAAATCAGCACGCCAGATATTTGGCCTTCTGACCATACACTCTTCACGTCCCCGACTTAAGGCGCATTTGAATAAGAGGCAGACGTGATCACTAGAGCCCAAGGGAGCAGCATACACTACATCTCGTACAAAGTCCAGCGATTTCGCAAAGATGAGGTCTAAAATGGAAGGCTTTTGGCCCTCCATGAACCTAGTTGGGCTTTGTACAAACTGATGAAGGGATGCTTGTAAGGATAGGTCAAGGAGATCATTTGAAAAACGTCCAGTCGCCGCAGTGCAGAAATTGCGCCAATCCACCTCAGGAACATTAAAATCACCCATAACAAGACATCTATTTGTCGTATGAGTACGAATGAAATCAATGAGCCTGCTTGACGTACTTTCGGGGCTTCTGTATACTAACACAATTTTGAATTGCGTGAAAGAAGCGCAAACATCTACCGCAAGCGCCTCGGCAGTTACATCAGGGGAACTAAAAGGATATGTTCGTGAAATAGTCAAGGTGGATTTGACGTACAAAGCAACTCCGCCTCCGCGACAGCATGAGGCGCGATCAGCTCGCAGAAGGGTATAACCAGGCATACACATTTCACTGTCCAGGATATCGGAGAACAGCCACGTCTCAGTGAAAGCGAGTACGTCTGGCCTGGAACTTTCTACAAGAGTGCCAATCTCGCACATCTTGTTCCTCAGACTACGCACGTTGCTGAGGACTACTTTAAGCAAATTGGGATCGTGAGCCGGGGATCGGGTGCCACCAGAACGGGCTCTGAAAGGGCGGAAGTAGACCTCCGGCTCACCACCCGAAAACCCACCAATCGAAGACCAGTTTGACCCGCCTCGCGACGGGCTTTGAGGTCCTTTATGGCGGCCTTCAATTTCAACCTATCAGTCAATGGGAGGTCAGGTTGCATACTGACCCCAGAACCCTTGAGTTTAAAAGCGAAACGCAGTAGCGTATTACGCTCGTCCGGTGTTGAAAGAACCACTCTCAGTAAACGGGGTTTGACGCCCGAAGCATCGACCGGCACAGACCCAAGCCTAATGAGTTTCCGTACAGTTACGCCAGGAAACCCGGGCGGTAGCAGTTTAGAAATGCAAATCTTAAACCATTGCAGGTCAGCAAGCATTCGCTCCTTTGGAAGAGCTGCGGTGGACTCCGTGACATTCCTAAAGATGACACTGCTATCAGTGTAGGAGTCACTGCGGCGGGGGGTGCCTACTCCACGCGCCACAGTCATAGAATCATGCGACTGGGTGGCTGGTTGCTTGGATGCCCTAGCTGCGTACGAAGAGTCTTTGGGAGGAGACACCGAAGGACTTAGTACTGAAGGCTCTGCAAGTGACGTGCTTACCTGATCCACTGTACACTCCGAGACTACCGCATTTTGCAAGTTTACAGTTTTCTTCTTCTTGCTCGGCTTACGTTTCGCTGGCAAGGTTCTTTCCAACTGTTCAGCGCCAACTAGCTCACAATCAGTTGCTGGATAGGGTGTTAAGTCGACTGAATCCGTTTGCGTGTTACTGTCCGCTAATTTCACCTGGGCGTGAACAACGGATGGTGTCAGACGATCTAGTAAACCTTCAACTTTCCCATCCAAAGTTGTCAGCAGCAAAGAAAACACTCGTTCCATATTTGTCAGTCTGGAAACGAGCGAATCGAAACAGTCTTTCGTGGTTACAAAGCGCTCAGCTTTCAGCTTAAAACAATCTTCACAGCTATAAAGGAACCTCTCATTGCTTGCCAGGAGAGCATACTGATCAGCAGGCAAGCCGGTGCATGCCTCATGGAACCATCTACCACAAAGATCGCATTGCATACCACCCGACAAGTCGGTTACAGGTATACAGCATCTCTCTAAGCCGCATAGGTAAACTGAATCAGCTGTTTTAAGACCCGAAGGCACACCCACAACTTTTCTAACCATCTTGACAACAATGAAGAAAAGGTAAGAACAACGAAAAGATGAGGACCGGCTTGCGAAGGCCTACAATGCAGACAGCGAGGGCAAAATCGGATAATACCGCAAGTAAAACGTACGCACTGATTTGAACTCAATATGATAAGATGATGCACTTTTTCCAGCAGCACAGTGACCACACGCGGTTTCGTGCAGGGAGTAGGAAGCCGTAAGTCGACCGGAGACTCCACGGAGACTGCGTCGTGACAAAGGAAGGCACACAATGGATTCCGAGTATATTGGCACTTCCAAGTACTTTCAGAGTACAAGAAAATGTTATCAAACAAGGACTTCAGTAAAGAAAATCCCGAGCGAT